TTTGTTTGTTTTGCCATAGGGCACATGCACTTCCTGGAGAGAGACAGAGAGAGTCAGAAAGAGGAAAAGTGAAAAATCCCTGCCCAAGGGGAGGGCCATTCTACAACCTTTTCACCTCAACTCTCCTCCTGGGATTTGGGATTTGGGGCACGCACATTCACATGTAGAGTGGGATTTCCTTTTCCCTTTTTTGAGAGAGATTTTTGCTATAGAGAGACAGAGAGAGACAGAAAGCAAGAAATCACCCCCCAGGGGGATGGCCATGCCACAATCTCTTCTCTGCATTCTCCTCTTGGGATTTTGGGCATGGACGCACACGTGCCCGGCATGAGTTTTAAGACACTGGATCCAGGACTCAAATCATGGTTGACTACATGGGAGTCCAGTAACGTAACCATTACGCCATCTGCTGGTCTCCTGGGTCCGGGACTTGAACCATGATGGGCGATGTGAGAGTCCAATGACATAACCATTACACCATCTGCTGGTCCCTTTATTTTTTAATTTTCCAGAGGGCTCATGTACTCACCAAAGAGATACAGGGAGATGGAGAGAGAGCGGAGGGAAAAAGGCTGTAGCATACCCACATCTATGGGGTGCGGGTATGCTGCGGTCCCTTCTCCATTTCTGCATTGTCAAGATTCAGTCTGAATTCAGAGGGATGTGTGTGTTGCTAGATGTGGGGGGACAGGAAGAGTGTGGAGCTCAGAGGTATAAACCACTACCCACAATTAGGGGGCGCACACATGCGGAATGATGAGAACACCCCAGCCACCTTTTTTTTTTTTTAAAGAGATTATTTGCTATAGGGCATGCATGCGCACTTGCCAGAGAGACAGAGACGGAAAGTGAGAAATCACTCCCCAGGGAAATGGCCATGCTGCAATCCCTTCTCCTCCATTCTCTTGGGATCTTGGGCACGCATGCACACACACCCAGTGTGAGTTTCAAGTCACCAGGTCTGGGACTCCACCCGCAGTCGACTACATGGAAGTTCAGAGACGTAACCGTTCCACCCTCTGCTAGTCGTATGAAAGAACATTTTTAATTGCTACTTAAAAATAATTTTTACGTAAGTATAAAATAGATGTATAAAGGTACATGAATTATACATACAACTCAATGAATTAATAAATCAGTAGACCTAAGGACCAGCAGTTAGCGTAATGGCTATGTCGCTGGACTCCCACGTAGTCGACTGCGGTTTCAGCCCCAGACCCGGTGGCTTAAACTCACACCGGGTGCGTGTGCGTGCTCTCCAAAAATAAATAAATAAATAAATAAATAAATAAATAAATAAATAAATAATAAAATCAGTAGACCTGTGTAAAGAGTACCCCGGTCCAGAGATGGAATTGGGTCAGACTCTGTGGCACGGTCTGTAGCTTATTGACAGCCATGCTGGAAGCCACAAGGTTCCCTGTGGGTGGGATCCTGGGCCCACCGGGTCACCCAGGCTTCTCCACCACTGTCATAACACGTGTGTGATCAAGGTTAATAAGTGTTGGTTTCGGGCCCGAAGATGGCATGGAGGTTAAGGTGCTGGATCCCGCATGGCCAACTCTGTGATTAGAGTCCTGGATCTGGTGGCTCGAAAATCACGCTGGACATGTGTGCGTGCATGTCCAAGATCCCAAGAAAAGAATGGAAGAGAAGGGTTTGAAGCACGGCCATTCTCCTTAGGGCGTGATTTCTCACTTTGGGTCTCTCTTCCCGTCTCTGGCGAGCAATTGCACCCTACAGCAAAAACAAAAACAAAACAAACAAACAAACAAAAAGATAAAAGTAGAAAAGGTTGGTCCTTTCATTCTACTAAATTGCAAAATATTCCAGCTTTGTGACCTAGTGGTTAAGGGAGCTGGATCCCATGTGACCAATCACAGGTGGTGCACGTGTGTGCCCCTAAATCCTAAGGATGGAGAAATGAGGGGAATGATTGCAATATGACCATACTCCACTTGGGGGAGCTTTTTCACTCTCCTTCTCTGTCTCTGGTGAGTGCACATGCCTTCTGGCATATTCTGAACCAAGACATAGCATTCAAATGGATTCTATGTGTCCTAAAATAACATGCCCACAAATATAAAGTTATAAAAAATAACTTGAGGGACCAGCAGTTAGCGTAATGGCTATGTTGCTGGACTCCTATGTAGTCGACCGTGGTGTCGACTGCGGTTCAAGTCCTGGACCCAGTGGCTTAAACTCACTCCTGGCGTGTGTGCGTGCGTGCCCAGGATCCCGAGAGGAGAATGGAGGAGAAGGGATTGTGGCATGACCATCTCCCCTGGGGGGTGATTTCTCGCTTTCTGTCTCTCTGTCTCTCCGGTGAGCGCACACGCCCTATAGCAAAACAAACAAACAAACAAACAAAAAACAGCTTGATATTTTCCCACCCTAATGTGAACGTGTATTCTAGAAAAGAAAGTTTTTTTTTAAATAAAATATTGTATAATAAAAAGATGAATAAATGAATGAATACAATTGTAATACCTGTGCAATCTTAGTTAGTAATAAACTTTTGCTGCTTAGTTGTTCAACTATGGAGAATATTTTTATCATCCATTGCTGTGATCTTATTTGTCCCTTTTTATTATAAACACGAGCCAGCAGGTAGTATGGTTTTAAGGTTCTGGACTCCCACATGGCCGACGGTGGTTTGAGTCCCGGACTTGGCAGCTTGAAAATCGTGCCAGGTACATGTGCGTGTGTGCTCCAAATCCTGAGTAGACCGAAGGAGAAGGGATTGTGGCATGGCCATCCCACATGGGAGGTGATTTCTCACTTTCCCTCTCTCTGTCTCTCTCTAGTGAGTGCAAGCAACCTATGGGAAGAAACCTTTAAAAATGTTTAAAAGAACTATTAAGTCATTCCCGATATAATCCATATTAATAAAACAAAATTTTTTTTCTTTTGTCCTCTTTGGAAGATGATTTGCAAGAAAGCAGGGGAGAGGTTTTATGAGCGCATAATTATTTCCTACCTTCAAGCACTGCAAATTTTGGTGAAATCGCATACCCCAGACATTTAAAGGGGGAGAAAAAAAACTCTAAAACACCCCCCACACAATTGTGGCCTTTATTATTCAACCCTAACCAGTCTATTTGACTCTATGGGGGAAAAAACGAGTTAGTCTTCATTTTCCTATGTTGACTAAGAGATCCTTTATTCACACAGATCTGAATGTCACAGGTGTGTGCTATGTAAGTCTGACCCACTTGGTGTAGTCACCATCTGGGAGGGGAGATGTGGGGATTGAACTCACTCTGGTGTCTCAGTGACAACCACATCATGGTTTCTGTTTTATCTTGGAGGCCTCTCTTACCCTCTATGCAGTGACCCCAAATTTGATCCTCACCCCAAAAGCCCTCCAGAGCTTGGACTATCTAGGTGGGACTCTAAAGAGAACCAATGGCCCTCTAAGGGACACATACTACACAGCAGTCATTCACACCTTAGTAAGAAATAGCTCACCAGGTCCTAGCCAGGGATTTGGGGAAAGGCTTAGAAGTGAGACAGGAGCTGATGTCCTGAGGAGAGCACTCCGTGGGATCTGCTTAGCCAACCCTCTGCAAAGCCCACACTCCGAGACAGTCAACCAGGGAAAGCCGGGCTGCCCCGCCCACGGCCGGCCCAGGCGGCGCTCCCCTTCCGCAAAATATAAGGGCCGCGGGCGTTGTCTTTCCCGTGCAAACCTTGCACAGAGCTCGGATCCCTTGCACCGCGCAGCAGGTAAGGCCCGGCCTGGGGCGCCGCTGAAGGGCGCGGGCGACAGCTCGCAGCCGCTCACGCCGGTCCCTGCCCCACTCCCCACCGCCCTGCAGCTCGCTGCCTGGCGCCCTCGCCCTCATCTAGCCAAGCACCCTCGCTCCGCCGGGTGGGGGCGACCCCGGAACCCCAGCGCCCAATCCTGGGCGCAAGGCCCGAGGGAGCGATCCGCACCCGAGATCAGAAAACATTTCTCCGAGCTCCCTTCACCCCGCCTTCCTCCTTCCCGAGCTGTGAGTGGCGGTTTCCAGGCAGCCCGGCCCGGCCGCTTCTCCTTTTGCAGCGGCGAAGGGGAGAAGGGGAACCCGCCCAGCCGGCGACTGCGCAGCGGGGGTGCAGCTGGCCACCTCCAGGCCCAGCCGGCAGGGCTGTCCCTGCCCGCACCGGGGGAGCCTGAGGCTCTGGGAGAGGAGGGCAGGCTGGGTTCGTGGGGGTCGGCTGGGGTTGCAGCGGCGGGGGACACTGTCCCCAGGGTTTCCAGACTCGCAGGACCTGCACTGTCACCGCGGCTTCGGACACAACATTAGCGACTGAAACTCACAAGTCAGGATAGTTAGTTTTGCTTTGCCAGTGTATTTGTTTTTGCTTTTGTTTTTAAGAGAGATTTTTACTATAGGGCATGAGCGCTCGCCCGAGAGACAGAGACAGAGAGACAGAAAGCCAGAAATCACACCCTAGGGGGGGATGGCCAAGCCACAATCCCTGCTCCTCCATTCTCCTCTCAGGGTCTTGGGCACGTACGCACACGCGCCCGGCGTGAGTTTTAAGCCACCGGGTCCAGGACTCGAACCAGGGCGGACTACATGGAAGTCCAGCGTTGTAGCCACCACACCATCTGTGGGAACGCGCTTTAATGCACAGTGGGTGGCCTGCGCCTTCCAATGAAATCTGTTATTTTCCGAGTATGTAGGCAATGGATTCATTGACCAAACTGGTCTGAAAATTAAACAAAGTGCCCAGAAGTGTGGGTAGTAAGAGGGGTACCTTGGGACTGGGAGACTCTGCTGAGGCCACAGTGACCCCGGCCTGGGTACCTCCTCAGACTCACCTGTCCACAGGTCAGAGCCCCTTAGACACCCTGCTCCCACTCTGTGTGCTTAGAAAAGTATTCCTGCCCTCCGGGGAAGAAGGGGGGGCAGGGCACGTTCCAGAGTGTTCCAGGTGGTCGGCACAGGTGAGGGGCTGAGGGAGAAGGTGTGGGCAGCGGGTCACCCCGGCTTCTCTTCCTGCCACAGCCTTCACCATGGAGCAACTGAGCGCAGCAAACTCCCGTTTCGCCTTGGACCTGTTCCAGACACTGAATAAAAACAACCCTACCGGGAACATCTTCATCTCTCCCTTCAGCATTTCATCGGCCATGGCCATGATCTTCCTGGGGACCAGAGGCAAAACCTCCACACAGCTCTCCAAGGTCAGGGGAAGCAAACCCCAGGGGTCTCTCCTCGCTGGTCCGCATGTTCTTTCTTTCTTTTTTTTTGAGAGGTTTTTGCTATAGGGTGCATGTGTGTGCCAGAAAGACAGAGAAAGACAGAGAGACAGAAACCAAGAAATAACCCCCCAGGGCCACGCCGTAATCCCCTCTCCTCCATTCTCATCAAGGAATCTTGGGCAGGCACTCACACGCACCCGGCGTGAGTTAAGCCACTGGGTCTGGGACTCAAACCGCGGTCAACTGCATGGGAGTCCAGCCACATAGCCGTTACGCCAACTGCTGGTTCCTGGTCCTCGTGTTTTAAAGTCTGTATGTAACAAGGGTGCCTCAGCTCTAACCGTGTGTTTTTTGTTTGTTTTTTCTTTTGTTGGAGAGGTTTTTGTTAGAAGGTGCATGCGCTCGCCAGACAGACAGAGACAGAGAGACATAAAGTGAGAAATCACCCCCCAGGGGGAATGACCACACCACAATCCCTTCCCCTCCATTCTCCTCTCGGAATCTTGGGCACGCACGCACACGCGCCTGGTGTGAGTTAAAGCCACCGGGTCCGGGACTTGAACCACGGTCGACTACATGGGAGTCCAGCGACATAGCCATTACGCTAACTGCTGGTCCCTGACAGTGTGTTTTAAAAACCGCGTGTCTGTGTTTGACCATTCTGCCTTAGGAGGTTGGACTTTCCGAGAAGCCCCTAGGATGGTCCATTTGTACGCAGGCTGTCTTTAACCTCAGGTCTTTATCCGGCCTGGCTCTGTGAAGGGCAGGGCAGTGCACACAGCCGAAGGCAGGGCCATCCTTCTGTGCCAGTGGGTGAATCTCTGCCAGTGTTCCTGTCAGGCCCGCCCTCTCCTCCTGCACTCGCAGTGTCCAGTTTTTGCTTTGCATACGGTGACCTGGCGCGGAGCATAATGCAAATAATGAGATGTGTTCCTAAGGGCCTGACTCTGGAACTGACCCTGGTGCTGAGCATGGGTTTTTCAGCCACACCCAAGTAGGTGAGTGGAGGCCCCGCCTCTCAGGAGCAGGACCAGGCCCCAGACAGCGGACCCTGACAGCCAGGAGAGGCAGAGCACCCAGCCTTCCTTCTTGACCCACCTTAAAGGGCCTGGAAGGTGTTCATTCTTTTTTTTTTTTTTTTTTTTAGAGGTTTTCGCTATAGGGTGCGTGCGCTCGCCAGACAGACAGAGAGACAGAGAAACAGAAAGCAAGAAATCATCCCCCAGGGGGGATGGCCATGCCTCAATCCCTTCTCCTCCATTCTCCTCTCGGGATCTTGGGCACGCACGCACACACGCCCAGCGTGAATTTCAAGCCACCGGGTCCGGGACACGAACTGCAGGTCGACTACGTGGGAGTCCAGCGACATAGCCATTACGCTAACTGCTGGTCCCTGGAAGGTGTTCATTCTGAGAGGGGAGCTCTAGCTTTGTTTCGAAGCCCAGACGAAAGGAGTGCTGACATGGAGGTTTTCCTAACATTCCTGCCACACACGTACTGCACCTGTTACTCGGGAGGGTGCAGCCCTGGGTTCAAGTTCAGAGGGCTGCAAAACTTCTGTTACTCATAGTTGCAGGTGCAAAAGCATTTAAACGTTTTGAAAATTCACTTAAAAAACAAAACAGAACAAAACAAACAAAAAAACCCACCAATATTGATTGTTAGCTGCTTCTTACAGGGCTGTATCAGCTCCTATTCGGAGGCTTTCCAGGGACTTTATACCCTCCATAAAGAACATTTGAAGGTTTTTTCCTCTCATTTCCATTAAAACAGACACATCACAGTGACCCGGAAACACTCCCTATTGCTCACTTGCTCAGTGAGTAATGTGGACTTTGTATGCCAACTGGTTTTGTTCCTCAGTCTCAAAAGGGAGGAACCAACCCAGGCCTCATAAAACCATCAAGGGCCTCTTGATTTGTGACTGCTACAGGAGGAATGAAATGTTTGCACAATCTTAAGTTTAAAGAAGCTGTTTTTAAATAGACAGATTAATATTAAATGATAATACAAGAAAAAAGCCTCTAACTGTAATATCTTTGGGGTCTGACAGAAAGGATTCTTATTTTCACTTTTTACTTCTGAAAACTTTCTGTCAACTTATATTTGACACGGAATATAGATACGAACATTCCACTGATGGTTGTCTTTGGCAATAAAACAAACATACGAACATTTAATTACTAACCACTCACATGTGTAAAACTATAATAATAACCCAAGTTATAAAAGCAGTTTGAAATGTTGGAATTACACATTTTATCAGGTCAAACATTTTGGATTCGTTGTTGGTTCTTTCTTTTTATTTTTATTTTTATTTTGCTATAGGGTGCATGCATTTGCCAGAAAGACAGAGAGAGACAGAGAGACAGAAAGCGAGAAATCACCCCCCAGGGGGGATGGCCACACCACAATCCCTTCTCCTCCATTCTCCTCTCGGGATCTTGGGCATGCACGCACACACGCCCAGCGTGAGTTTAAGCCACTGGGTCCGGGACTTGAACCGCAGTCGACCGGGTGGGAGTCCAGCCACGCTAACTGCTGGTCCTCCTGTTGTTGGTTCTTCAATGACACATTAAAGTATGGGGCTGGGGTCATCCATAATTGTTTTAAAAACACATTAGTTCGATTTTGAGAAGGGCAAAAACCAGGAATCATTTTCAAATTTCAAAATAAGTGGCTGTAGAAAAAAATGTTTTCCTTATTTTAGACTCTTCACTTCGATACGGTTGAGGACATTCATTCAAGATTTCAGAGTCTGAACGCTGATATCAACAAACGTGGAGCACCCTACATTCTGAAGCTCGCTAACAGGTTATATGGAGAGAAAACCTACGAGTTCCTCCCCGTAAGTACTTGGCATTCATATTCCCAAAACTCATTAGACAGTGCAGCTATTTTCTCAGCAAAATCAAGTCCCAGAAGTCAGTTGAAATATTTGTGGGCATTCAGAAAAATAATACAGACTACAAACATGACAGAAAATGCCCCTGTTACCAATTGTTGTGGTGGTTTTGTTTTATAGTCTTTATGGTGAATGAAAAAAAAAAAATCACTCCTGGATATTTTACTAAAGAAAGAGGGAATCCCATCATTCATTTCTAAATACAATCAGCATTTTCTTATTTATGGAAGTGTTAGTCAAAGGTTAGGAAAGAACAGGTGAATTGTTTTGTTTTGTTTTTGAGAGTTTTTTGCTATAGGGCGCGTGCGCTCGCCAGAAAGACAGAGAGAGACAGAGAGACAGAAAGCGAGAAATCACTCCCCAGGAGGGATGGCCACACTGCAATCCCTTCTCCTCCATTCTCCTCTCGGGATCTTGGGCACGTACGCACACGCGCCCGGTGTGAGTTTTAAGCCACCGGGCCCGGGACACGAACCACAGTTGACTACGTGGGAGTCCAGCGACATAGCCATTACGCTAACTGCTGCTTCCCGCGAGTATGCATTCTTGTGATCCTGAGGACATGGAGGGCTGGAGAGGAGGACCTGCTGTGTGATGAGATCTTTTAAGGGTGCCTCTCTCTTTCATACGTGTGCACATGCTCTTCATCATGATAAATAAACTTAAAAAAACAATTAATATAGGAAATTGTTATGTATTTTTTATCACAATTTCTTTTTTAGAGAGATTTTTGCTTTAGGGCACATGCACTCACCAGAGAGGTAGAGAGAGAGAGAGACAGCAAGAAATCACACCCCAGAGGGAATGGCCACGCCGCAATCCCTTCTCCTCTATTCTCCTCTCGGGATCTTGGGCACGCATGCACATGCACCCAGTGTGAGTTTAAGCCACTGGGTCTGGGACTCGAACCGTGGTTGACTACATGGGAGTCCAGCAACATAGCCATTATGCCAACTGCTGGTCCCAGGATTTCAATTTTTTTTTTTTTTTTTGCACCACAATGAACATACACTATTTTTCCACAAATTATTTTGAAGCACTCTCACATGTACCAGAAGTTATTCATGACATTTTTTTTTTTTCCCCAATAGGAGTTCTTGGCTTCAACTCAGAAGATGTACGGAGCTGAACTGGCCAGTGTGGATTTCCAGCACGCCTCTGAAGAGGCCAGGAAGGCCATAAACCAGTGGGTCAAAGGGCAGACAGAAGGTAAGAGACCAAGCAGCTTGGCCTCACCATGGCTTCACGCTAGAAATCCATCAATGGTTATGGATATTAGAAATAATGGGGGAAGAGCTGAGAAAAGGGGGTGTGTGTAAGGAAAGAAATTAAGGAGGGAAATAGAGCCAAGCCATTAATGGGACACAGAAATGGATGGTTATCTGTTGATGATAACGTGTTTTGTATCCTCAACTGGACTGGTGTGAAGTGTATTCCTGTTGTGTAAATTCAATTTACAAGCTAAATGCTGCATAGTGATTAGATGTATAAAATACATTTTTAAAAAAAGAATGATTTATTTAACTTTATTTATGCATTCATTTAATTTGATCAGAGAGAGACAGGGGAAGAGAGAGAGAAAGTGAGAAAGCAAGCTACCAGGTCCAGGATTTGAACCATGATTGGTCATGTAGGACTATCCAGCGTCTTAACCACCACGCCACCTGCTGGTCCCATAAAATAGATTTTAAAAGAATTTTAAAAATTAAAAAAAAAAAATCCATCATCGTGAAAGCTTAAACATGATTAACGGAGTAGCTGAAGACTTTTTTCCTATAAGTTCCTCCAGACTTCCCTTTTAAGTTCAAATCAACATTACATGTCAAATAAACATGTTGGGAATTCAGCCTGTCAAAATGATTTAATGTACATTTGGAAAGAAGCGTCCTGGAATTTCATGGAACGCATGAAATCTGTATTTGCAAACTGCTTGATCGTGTATATTGTTTGTCAATGTCTTATCCAGTAAGTCATGCCTGGTGGGTGGGGAGAATTGATTCATGCTCCAAGCTAAAATGATCTATTTATACCTCTCCATTTGAACAGTCACCGTGTGACTCACACACCTGTAGAACACCTGTCTTCTCGTACAGGCATTGTTTCTGGTCATGAACGCAGTCACAGTGAAACCCTTGTTTCAGTAGACTAGTTGTCTTACCTGTTGCATATTTGTTAGAACATTTAACATTTTTTATCTGTTTATTTTTTAGGTTTTCGCCATAAGGTCTGTGCATTCATCAGAGACAGAAACAAAGAGAGGGAAAGTGAGGGACCAGCAGTTAGCGTAATGGCTATGTCGCTGGACTCCCATGTAGTTGACCGCGGTTCGAGTCCTGGACCCAGTGGCTTAAAGTCACAGCGGGCGTGTGTGCGTGCATCCCCAAGATCCTGAGAGGAGAATGGAAGAGAAGGGATTGCGGCGTGGCCATCCCCCCCAGGGGGTGATTTCTCGCTTTCTGTCTCTCTCTCTCTCTCTCTGTCTTTCTGGCGAGCGCACACACCCTATAGCAAAAACCTCTTAAAAAGAGAGAGAGAGAAAGAGAAAAGTGAGAAATCCCTCCCCTGCAGGGGGCATACCTACTCCGCAATCCCTTCTCCGTTCTTCGTTCAGGATTTTGGATACACACACACACACACACACACACACACACACACACTTGGAGTGATTTTAAAGTTTTTGGATCTGGGCCTTGAACCCCATGTGTAAGCTCAGCACCTTAATATTTTTTAACTGTCTGAGGGTATATGCACTCACCAGAGAGAGGAGAGAGAGAGAAAGAGAGGGAAAAAAGCACAACTAGACGTGGCTACACTGTAATCCTTTTCCTCCATTTTTCCACCCTGTCGGGACTTGGGGCACACATGCTTACATGCGCAGCATGGTTTTTATTATTATTTTTTTTGGGGGGGGAAGCTTTTTGCTATAGGGCATATGCGCTCGCCAGAAAGACAGAGAGAGACAGAGAGACAGAAAGTGAGATATCACCTCCCTAGGGGGCATGGCCACACTGCAATCCCTTCTTCTTCATTCTCCTCTCGGGATCTTGGGCATGCACACACATGTGCCCCGCGTGAGTTTAAGCCACTGGGTCCAGGACTCAAACTGTGGTCGACTACATGGGAGTTCAGTGACATGGCCATTACGCTAACTGCCGGTCCTGCTCATGGTTTTCAAGCTGCTGGGACAGGAATCTGAAGTGCAGTCAGCCCTACGGAGTCCAGCTTCCTTAATAACTAGCCAATGAGGTCAGCTCTTGTGTGTGAGAGTAGATTTCTATTGGGCAGATTTCATTAAGAATTTTTGGGGGAGGAGTTTGGGCTAGCAGGTGCCATGGTCGTTGGAGCTGGACTTCTGCATGGTTGACTGTGGTTCGAGTCCTGAACCTGACTGCTTTCTTGCTCACTTTTTCTCTCTCTCTCATGAATGTGCACGTTCTATAGAAAATTAAGAAATAATCATTTTAAAAGATATTTTTTTTCTAAAAAAGAACGACCATGTGTAAACTAAAGCATATTGCTTCTGACACAATACGGAAAAGGAGAATTTTCCTATTTTTTAGCCTTTTGGTACACGTGACTTGTTTTAAAGTACCGGCTCCTTTAGAGTGGTTTGTGTATCATATTGCCCTACCTCACCAATTGGTTTATTTAAAGTAGAAACACACCAGTCAGACTAACTTAATACCATGTTTAACAAAATTAAGCCAATAATATACACTGGAATTGGAGTTCAGTGCTTATAACTTGTCAGTTCAGGGCCAGCAGATGCCATGGAGATTAAGGCAGCTGGACCCCCCACCCCCGTCATGGGCAGCTAAATGGTTTGAGTCCCGGACCCAGCGGCTCGAAGGACACACAAGATGGGTGTGCATGCATGCCCAAAATCTCAAGAGGAGAATGGAAGAGAAGGGATTAAAAGCACAACCATTCCTCTTTGGGGGTGATTTCTTACTTCCCCCCCCCCCCCTGTCTATTTCTGGCAAATACATATATCCTACAGCCAAAAAAAAAATAAAAATTCTCAGTTCAAAATTTTCAATTCCAATATAGATTCTTTTTTTTTTTTTAAATAAACACTACTTTATCTTTTCAGGGAAGATTCCAGAACTGCTGGCTGCAGGTGTGGTTGATAATTTGACTAAACTTGTGCTAGTGAATGCCATATACTTCAAGGGAAATTGGCAGGAGAAATTCATGAAGGAGGCCACAACCGACGTGCCATTCAGGCTGAATAAGGTAAGGTAGCCTAACTGTCTCGAGCCACGTTTTGCTCTAAAAGAACGCAGAGAATAGGAACCAGATGGTGGCGAGGTAGGGATATGCTACATGAGTGAGGCTGATCCACATGGAAGAGGTTCCAGGTTCACACCCAGATACCTCCCTGAGCATGGTGGGCACATATGTGCCCATGAACTGGGACTGGCTGAGGCTGGGTGTGGATCGTGGCATTAAGACCTTGTTGGGGGTGCTGGTCTTTCTGTCCTTCCCACTTATGAAAGAAATGAATAAAGTAAACTTTCAAAAAGAACACAGAGAATAATTTGAGTGATTTTTAAAAACACAGAAAGACAAGAAAACAGTGAAAATGATGTATCAGAAGAAAAAGTTTCCATATGGCTACATCGAAGACCTTAAGTGCCGTGTGCTGGAGCTGCCTTACCAAGGCAAGGAGCTCAGCATGCTCATCCTGCTGCCAGACGAAATTGAGGATGAGTTCACGGGTCTGAAGAAGGTAACGAGCTCCAAGCTTTGTGCTTTCTTTCAATATATGCGTTCTTCTGTGTGTATGTGTGTGTCGCATGGTGAGTGCTCGGTATGAGTCCACCAACGTCCCTTGACTTCCCTTTCCAGAACTTGGCCCCTTTGTAAATGTAGCCTACCTACATGTCCTACCCCAAAGTCCTAAGTTTACATTGTTCTAGAAAGATGCCCATCTCTGTTCAGTGACAGTTGTGACAAGGAACATCTAAAGATCTATATTAAATGTAACATGGGTGAGTGGCAGCTCACAGAAGGGCTCTCCAATCAATGTGAGAGGAGTGTACAGTAAGATGAGGGTTGTTGACTGAGGGGAAAGATCGAAAAACCCAAACACTGTGCTATCTAGCTTCATCATGAACTGTAAAATCCTATTAAGGGACCAGCAGAGATGGTGAAATGGTTACATCGCTGGATTCCCATGTAGTCGACTGCGGTTCAAGTCCTGGACCCAGTGACTTGAAACTCATGTGTGCCCAAAATCCCAAGAGGAGAATGGAGAAGGCATTGTGGCATGGCCATCCTGCCTGAGGGTGATTTCTCACTTTCTTTCTCTCTGTCTCTCTCTGTCTCTTCGGCAAGCGCACGCACCCTATAGCAAAAAATCTCTCTAAAAATATCCTATTAAGACGCCATTATTCTCTCTACAGTTCATACAGATCATGAGTGAAGCTTCTAATAGGTGCATAACAGAAAACCTCTGGGGATATGTGAGCTTGAGCATAAGGCCTACTTCCTGTCAGAGCATGTGTACACTTGTCAGAGAGAGAGAAGGAGGGACAAAGCACCCCTCAATGGGATGTGGTCCCTCTGTAATTCCTTCCACATTTTCCCACACCATCAGGATTTGGGGCATGAAGGAAATGCACATGGACCTGTAGTATTTTTTAAGCTGCTTGGCGAGGATTCAAACCATGCTTGGCCGTGTGAGAACCAGCTTCCTTAACCACTAGGCTACAAAGACTCTCCTCTCCATGACCTCTGTTTGAGGTTTCCAGTCTATGTCATTTAAAATCTATGGCATCTCTTGCAAGGAGTAGAACTAGGCGAAATTGTGAGTATAGTTTTTTCTCAGTGACTCTACCCTGCTATGTGTTTTCCTTATCTCTTTTTCAACCAAGCACGCTCTCAAGAAAGGGGTCTTAATTTTAATCATTTCCATGCATACAATCCAGATTAAAGTCAGTGTGTTCCTTCTTTTAGTTGTATTTTCATATTAATCTGTTTTCTGATTGTAAAGTGAAAGTTGGGAGCCTCAGGAAAGGAATGATCAACATCAGTAGAACAAGTGCAATGATGGCTCTGCTCTCGTCCCGCAGTAACAGTAATGGTAACAATGATGATAGCTGACACTTATATAGTGCTTACCGTGCACCAAGCACTTTCCATACATTGACTAGCTTAATGTTCACAGCAATGCTGTAAGGTGGGTACACTCATCCCCACTTTGGATGAGGAACTAGGTCAAGAACATCATCTGCCTTTCACATTTTTATGAAAGAGCTACGAGCTCCAGTGAGGTACACAGGTCACCAAGCTTTAGTGGGATGCAGAATGCAGAGAAGAAATCTTTTACATTTTCCATTGTATCCATCAACCAATTAGAGTATAACAGCTGTCATGGCCTATCATAGTAATCTGGTGAGGTAGGAGTTTAGTAAGTCCTGAGGGATGCATAGATGGGAAGGTCAAAGGAAGGATGGGTGGATGGAAGAATGTGTTGGAAGATGGATGGATGGATGGATGGGCAGATGGAAAGATGGATGGATGAATGGATAGATGGTGGATGGGTGAGTAAACGCATGGATGGTAAGGTGGCAGGATGGGTGGACAACGGATGGATGGATAAAGAGGAGGGTGGCTGGAAGAATGCATTGGAAGATGGATGGATGGGTGGATAGCTGGATGGACAGATGGAAAGATGGATGGATGAATGGATAGATGGTGTAGTAAACACATGGATGAGTAATCACATGGATGGTAAGGTGGCAGGATGGGTGGACAACAGATGGATGGATAAATAGGTGGGTGGATGGAAGAATGCATTGGAAGACGAATGGATGGGTGGATGGGCAGATGGAAAGATGGATGGATGAATGGATAGATGGTGTAGTAAACACATGGATGAGTAAATGCATGGATGGAAAGGTGGCAGGATGGGTGGATGATGGATGGATGGATAAAGAGGAGGGAGGCTGGAAGAATGCATTGGAAGATGGATGGATGGGTGGATGGGCAGATGGAAAGATGAATGGATGAATGGATAGATGGTGGATGGGTGAGTAAACGCATGGATGGAAAGGTGGCAGGATGGGTGGACGATAGATGGATGGATAAATAGGTGGGTGGATGGATGAGGGACCTGGTGTCCAGTCCTTGTGCTTTGACCTTTGATGATATGAAACACAGCTCTGTTCTGTTTCATCAATTGCCTGAAAGAAATTAAATTCTCTTGGGACCAGCAGTTAGCGTAATGGCTATGTCACTGAACTCCCATGTAGTTGACTGTGGTTTGAGTCCCGGATCCAGTGGTTTAGACTCACGCCAGGCGCATGCGCGTACATGCCCAAGATCCTGAGAGGAGAATGGCGGAGAAGAGATTGTGGTGTGGCCATCCCCGCTGGGGGGTGATTTCTTGCTTTCTATCTCTCTGTCTCTCTCTGTCTTTTTGGCGAGCGCACACGCCATATAGCAAAAATCTCTCAAAAAAACAAAAATTAAATTCTCCAAGTAGAATTTATTTTGACACACACACAAAAACAAACATGAAAGAAACTAATTAGTGACTGATTTTATAGGTCCATTCACTAACTAATGCTTTACTGGCAGGTGGCGTGATGGTTAAGACACTGGTCTCCCACATGGCTGATCAGTTTGAGTCCTGGACCAGGCAGCTTGTTTTCTCACTTTCTCACCCTCTCTCTCATCAAATTAAGAAATAATCATAATAATAAATAAAATATTTAAAACAATGCTCTATTACTTTACGTACAGCAAAGTTAATTTTGTCTCTTCTTTTTTACCCTGTTCTAATTCCAGATCGAAGAACAATTGACTTTGGAGAAACTACGGGAATGGACCAAACCTGCAAATCTGAGTAACATTGAAGTCCACGTCAGCTTGCCCAAGTTCAAACTAGAAGAGAATTACATCCTGAACCCCCACCTAAGCCAGCTGGGTGTGCAGGATCTCTTTGACAGAAGTAAGGCTGATCTGTCTGGCATTTCAGGAGCCAGAGATCTTTTCATATCAAAAATTGTCCACAAGTCCTTCGTGGAAGTGAACGAAGAGGGGACAGAGGCGGCCGCTGCGACAGCAGGCATTGCCACCTTCGCCATGTTGATGCCGGAGGAGACTTTCCTGGCCGACCACCCATTCTGTTTCTTTATTCGGCACAACCCCACAGCTAACATCCTGTTCCTGGGCAGACTTACTTCTCCATAGAGGAAAGAGACTATGGGAATCCAAGCTTAAGCTTAAAGCTGTATCGCCTGAATTTTTAATGGTGACGCTTTTTATACATCTTTAGCAATAAAACTGCTATGCAGAAATGGATTTTTAATTTCCTTTGTATGTTCAGCCCTGTTGGCTGTTAGCACTCATACATTTTGGTGCAGGGATCTCTTTTCCTTTTTCTTTCATTGAAAAATATCAAGTGATTGCTTTTGAATGTAACAAGAAACAAAAAGAAATCAGATGTGTAGATTCTTTTCTTTTCTATCTTCTTTCTTTCTTTTTTTTTCTTTGCTATAGGGTGTGTGCACTTGTCAAAGAGAGACAGAGAAAGGGAAAGTGAGAAATCACCCCTCCAAGGGGATGGCCCCATTGCATTCCCTTTCCCTCCGTTCTCCTCTTGGGATTTTGAGCACGCACGCACACACACCTGGCGTGATTTTCAAATCACCGGATCTGGGACTTAAACCTCAGTCAGTCATGTGGGAGTTCAGTGCCTTAACCACCACGCCACCTGCTGGCCTCGATTCTTTTTCTTTTTTTAAATAGGAGGGCATGTCCATGTGCACATGTGTGAGAGTGTATGTATGCAGGTGCACCTTACAACAGGGCCTGGTCATGTAATCCTTTTTTTTCCCCCTTTCTTTCTAATTTTCCATTCCATCAGAATCCTGGACATGTGTAAATCCAGCCCATTGTTCAAGCCACCAGGGCCAGATCTTGAACCCTGGTCAGTCACGTGAGATCCGGCCTTGTCTGAGTAGTGCTTAGTGCAATGCTGGCCCAGATGTTTGGATTTTTGACAGGCGAGTATAGCAGTCTATGGAATTGCTACGCTCTCTCGATAGCCTTTATCTTACAGATAGATGTTTATCTTATAGATAGATGTTTGGAAGCCAACACCCTTGACTGTTGAAGAGAGAATTAAAATCAGATATTCAGTTGAAATAGAGGCAAGTGACCCAAACAAGAACCAGGTTTGAAGAAAAACCTGATGTTCCTGTCTTTCTGTTCTATAGGAACAAAATATCCTATGACAACTCTCTAGTTTTTAAGCCCTTCAGAGAATGAGTCACCTGGTTGAAACCTGCATTTTCTTTCTTTCTTTCTTTTTTTTTTCTCCTTCTCATGTGCTATGGAGTTCATGTATGATCATGTAGAATCAAGAAGTAGACGTCTTATGATAAAAGATACCAAGAGACTTCCAAAAGAAACGTGTGGTCAGAGAAATTCTAAATGAACTGTCAAGCTCTCACTGTTTGCCTGGATTCTTGTGTGTTTTCTGTAAAGCTTTTTATATCACTCATCTGTTGTGAGTGGTTGATCATGGGCTGGCCTTGTACATGGCTGGGGTAGGGAGACAATTTGATTGCCAGAAACTTCTGTCCAGTGTACTCCTGTCCACGGGACTTGAAATGCTGCATTTTCTTGCTCCCACGAAGCTGGCAGGCCTCGTGAGTTAATAAAGTTTCGAAGATGCTACGATCCAAACTGATCTCAGTCCTCTTCTTATTTCTTCCCATCTCACATAAGCCAAGACTACCAAAGGGGATTCTTATCCGGATAATACTGATGAAAGTTAGGGTCTCCGCAGATCAAAAACAAAATTTTAGCTAATCGCTTCCTAGCAAGCTTTTCTTTCTTTTTTTTCCTCCTGCCTTGAAATATTTATTACTGCCTGCCTTCTTCCAGGTTTTCTAATCTGTACAGGAAAAGAAAAGTAGTCGTTACTTCCCTTCTGACTTCATCCTAAAGTCCATTCTATGGTGTAGAATAAATGGTGCTAACTGTGTAAAAACTAATTCAGGGATCTAAGTGACCCTGCTCAAATCCTTTTTTTTTTTTTTTGGATAGGTTTTTGCTATAGGGTGCATGTGCTCAACAGAAAGACAGACAGAAAGTGAGAAATCATCCTCCGGGGGGTGGGGGGGATGGCCACACCACAATCCCTTCTCCTCCATTCTCCTCTCTGGATCTTGGGCACGCATGCACACACGCCCGGCGTGAGTTTAAGCCACTGGGTCCGGGACTGGAACCACGCTCGACTACATGGGAGTCCAGCGACATAACCATTACACCAACTTGCTCTTGATAAGGTAAACCTGGAATTCTTGGAAATAGGTGGCAGACGGCATTTCTGGAAGACCTGTTTAGTTTCTTTCCTGTGGCATGAATTCAGCAGCCTAGCTGCCTGCTATGTTGCAGCCAAGAACTGACATCTCTACAGAAAGTCGTGCATCTGTTTGGGATAAGAAACGTGCTAGAGAAGAAATTGGGCTTTTCAGAGACAATTCAGGACTAAGGAAGAATCTGTTATACTTCAACCTTGAAAAGTTGATAACTCACCCACATCCACAGGTTGCAAAATATAAAAACATTCTTTGGGGACCAGTGGATGGTGTAACAGTTATGTCGCTGGACTCCCAAGTAGTTGATCGCGGTACGAGTCCCAGACCCAGTGGCTTGAAACTCACAATGGGCGTGTGTGTGTGCATGTCCAAAATCCCAAGAGGAGAATAGAAAAGGGATTGCAGAATGGCCATCCCCCTTGGAGCGGAGGGGTGGTTTCTCAGTTTCTGTCTCTCTGTCTCTCTCCAGCAAGCATGCAGGCCCTACAGCAAAGATCTCTTTCTAATAACAGAAAAGAATTCTTTGAACTCTGTGAGTTCTAATTACATATATTTAAAACGACAGGGGCCAATACTGTGGCCTAGTGGTCAAGGCACCCAGATCCTACATGGCAGACCACGGTTCGAATCCTGGCCTCATAGTGGCTGCATATGGATGTGTGCCCTAAATCCCAACAGGACGGAGAAGTGGAGAAGAGACCGTGATGTGACCACATCCTGTTGGAGTGCTTGCTTCCGCTCCCTCTCTCTTTTTCTGTCTACCTGTCTCTAATGAGTGCACACACCCTCTGGCAATGATTAAAAAAAGAAAAAGGAATTATAATGACATCATTGCAAGGCCAGCGAGACTTTCTGCTAGTTGGTAACTGCTGTGGCAGTGGCTGAATCCAGTGTGGAGTGGAGAGAATGAATCCACTCCAAATGACCAAAGATAACTGAGAGTGTGACATCTTACGTATTTCATGGAACAAAAGTGATTTCTTAGTGCGCAAGAGAGACCATAAAAAGCAAAGCTATGCACGGTAAGAGCAAGAGGATTTTACTGGAAGGGTTTTTATTATTATTTTTTTTTTGAGAGGTTTTCGCTATAGGGCGCATGCACTCGCCAGACAGACAGAGAGAGACATAGAGACAGAAAGCGAGAAATCACCCCCCAGGGAGGATGGTCACGCTGCAATCCCTTCTCCTCCATTCTTCTTTAGGAATCTTGGGCACGCCCGCGCACGCACCCGGCTTGAGTTTTAAGCCACCAGGTCCGGGACGTGAACTGCGGTTGACTACATGGGAGTCCAGCGACATAGCCATTACTCTAACTGCTGGTTCCCTGGAAGGTTTTCAAAGAGTTCTTGCATCAGCCCTTTCTTCATTTTGTACAGACTATTACAATAAACCCTGCTGCTATTTCACTGTAGTGGATAAACGAGTTCCCCTGTAAATTAAAAATGCAAATATTTTATCATTGCACGATAGATATATATATATATATATATACACACACACACACATATATATATATACATATAAAATTTTTTTTTGGAGAGGTTTTTGCTATAGTGCGCGTGAGCTTGCCAGACAGAGAAAGACAGAGAGAGACAGAGAGACAGAAAGTGAGAAATCATTCCCAGGGGAGATGGCCATACCTCAATCCCTTCTCCTCCATTCTCCTCTCGGGATCTTGGGCACACACGCACACGCACCGGTGCATTGCACGATATTTTAAAACATCAGTTTTAACAGAATGAATATGCATTCCAAATATTAGATTACTATGTAAACTCTGATACATTATTGAACTATTCAGACAATTAAGATGTTTCCATTTGCAGATTAACCCAGACCTTTCCTATCAAGACAAAACAATGGATATTTACATTATTCAATTGTTTTATTATTCAAATATGATATAACCAGATTAAAGGTTAGGATTTGTGTGCCTTTTAAATTAACTTATTTCTTACTATACCTTAAGCCCTATATGTCTTGCTTTTGTTGTTTGATGAACTAATTTTCAATTAATGTTTCTCAATCATTGTGGGGTTTTTAAAGTTAAATTATATTAAGACCAGAAATATTTTTCATCTAGAACAAATAAGATCTTCCATATTGAAGGTAAATAATTTCCATTGAACCATGAAACTATCCATGAAATATCTCTTAAGATTATTCAAATAGGGACCAGCAGATGCCGTAATGGCTATGTCACTGGATTCCCTTGTAGTCGACCATGGTTTGAGTCCTGAACTTGGTGGCTTAAACTCATGCCGGCCACGTGTGCATGCTTGCCCAAGATCCCAAGAGGAGAATGGAGAAGGGATCGCAGCATGGCCATCCCCTCTGGAGGGTGATTTCTTGCTGTTTTTCTGTCTCTCTGTCTCTCTCTGTCGAGTGCATGCACCCTATAGCAAGAAAAAAAAAAGATTGTTCAAATAAACTCTCTCAGTTCTAATTTCATATTCATTCATTTGTCTAAGTAACACTAACTTACCATGTTTTATGTGCTCAGCTTTGCACTAGGCCCTATACATACAACAATAATCCCTTTTCTCCAGTAGTTTATGTCTAGCTCATGAAGCGACTCCCCGGCAACGATATAACTTGGTTAACCGACCCCACTGGTTAGCAGTCATACCAATTTGATTTGGTAGCTGACACTTGAAGGTCAGGAAGAGGTTGTCTTCCACACTGACTGCCAACATTCTGGGAAGGCCACCCCCTACATTATTTAGCAAACTGGCCTCTGGGTGAGGAGCTGGCTACTGGTTATCTAGCCATCTGTGTATATATATCCTGATAGCCACGTCCCCTCTGGGTAGACTCACCCCAGTGTACCGAGAAAATAGACTTGTAATTCCCCAAGGCATGGATGACCCAACAGCAATGAGGTACTCTGACAAAGGGAAGAACACATGCAAAGGCACGGAGCTAGGAAGACAGAATGAAGATGCTGTGATTGGACATTAGTAAGAGAAAAGCAAGTGGGGTGTACGAGGGAGTAAGGGGAGACAAGACGAGGAGGTGCGCTGATGGCAAAGTGGATTTAGGGACTTTCTCTTTTTTTTAATTATATTTTATTTTATTTCTTGTTATTATTATTAACATTATTTTTTTAATTTGGCCAGATACAGAGAGAGAGAGAGAGAGAGAGAGAGAAAGCAAGCCGCCAGGTCT